AGAAGATGAAGCTGAACAAAGTTTAATGTAATTATTCTAAAGTAAGTTTGGTTACTGTTAGATTGAAGTGGGGAGGTGGAGTGTGGGGCAGTCATCCAGATCTGTAATCCGTGTGTGTGTGTGTATGTGTGTGTGTGTGTGTGTGTGTGAGACACATGCTGTAGGGCAACAGGGTCAAACACATGGCCACAGGCCAAATGAAATCCACAATACTTCGGACCACATTAAAATATAAGTTGTAAATGTTTAACAAAATAAATAATTTAATAAAACTTGAAGTTACTTTATGGTTTTCTATACCAACATGCCTCCACAAGGATCATTATGGATGGTTTGTTGTTGCTCAGTCGTTCAGTCACATCTGACTCTTTGTGACCCCACGGACAGTAACACCTCAATGCTGTCCATGGGATTTTCTTGACAAAGACACTGGAGTGGTTTGTCATTTCCTTCTCCAGTGGCTTAACGTAAATAGGGTTAAGTGACTTGCCCAGAGTCACACAACTAGTAAGTGTCTGAGGCTGGATTTGAACTCAGGTCTTCCTGACTCCAGGCCAAGTGCTCTATGCACAATGGTGCCACCTACCTGCCTCACGTATGGTTTAGAGGCCTCCATTTCTAGTTGAGTTTGACATCACTGCTGTTGGGAGCAGAAATTTGGCATAGAATACTGGATTTGAAGTCAAAGAACCTGAGTTCAAATCCTAGCACTGCTGTAGGTATGACCTTAGTCAAGTCACCTAAATGTTCAAAGTCTCAATTTCCTTGTGTGTGAAATTGTGATGTGATGAAATCGGGGTGGGGAACTTGTGGCCTTGAGGCCCTCAAGCGTAGCCCTTTGATTTAACAAATCCCTTTGTTCTCAATCCTTTTGGGATTTGTTCTGTGAAATCTGGATTCAGTCAAAGGGCCACACTTGACGGCCAAAAGTTTCCCACCCCTGATTTAGTCACATCACATTTTTACACACAAGGAAATTGTGTAGGTTCCCCATCCCTGGACTAAATGATATCTAAGGTCTCTTTTTAGCTCTAAATCTTATGATATCACATATAAAGAACTTTGAAAGAAAAAAAGAAAATAACTTTCCAACCACAGCATTTCTTGATCCATGGAACAATAGACTCAAGAAACTGTTCTCATTGCTGAGAAAAATGGAAATTAAGCTATAGCTGATTGATTTAGGCCTAACATTAAGAGTCGTATCACTCTTGTATGAAGTAAAACCAGAGGTTTCCCTAAACTAGTACCAAATCTTAAATGGACAAAATTTAGCAAATTATGCCTTAAGAATAAACACTTATTTCTATAGCAGAAAAGCATACCACTCTAAGGCTGAGCTGGCCAAAAGTAAGCTATATCCCATTTCTGGCAGGTCTCCACACACACACACACACAATGAGAAGCTTCTATTGACATCATATGATCAGATATCTGACAAATGCTCTTACTAAAGGAATCGATCAATCAGCAAGCATTTTTCTGCTGTCTTTCTTTAAATTAATTTATTTTTAGTTTTCAACATTCACTTTCACAAGATTTTTGAGTTCCAATTTTTCTCCCATCTCTCCCCTCTCCCACCCCAAGATGGTGTGCATTCTGAATACCCCTTCCCCTAATCTGCCCCCCCCTTCTCTTATCCCCTTCCTCTTCTATTTTCCTGTGGGGCAGGATAGATTTCTATACCCCAGTGCCTGTATATCTTATTTCCCAGTTGCATGTAAAAACAATTTTTAATATTCGTTTTTAAAACTTTGAGTTTCAAATTCTCTCTCCCTTCCTCCCTCCCCACCCACCCTCACTGAGAGGGGAAGCAATTTGATATAGATTATACATGTGTAGTCATGCAAAACACTCCCATGTTGTGAAAGACTATATTTCTCTCCATCATATCCCTCCCCGTTTATTCTATTCTCTCTCTTGACCCTGTCCTTCCTCAAAAGTGTTTGCTTCTGATTACTCCCTCCCCTAATCTGCCCTATCATCCCCCTCTCTCTTATCCCCTTCCCCCCTATTTTCCTGTAGGGTAAAATAGATTTCCATACCCAATTGAGTGTATATGTTATACCCTCCTTAAGCCAAATTCGATGACAGTAAGATTCACTCCCTCCCTCTCACCTCCCCCCTCTTCCCCTCCACTATAAAAGCTTTTTCTTGCCTCTTTTATGTGAGATAATTTACCCCATTCTACCTTTCCCTTTCTCCTTCTCCCAGTACAATCCTCTCTCACCACTTAATTGTATTTTTGAGATATCATCCCTTCATATTCAACTCACCCTTCAACAAGCATTTATTAAGCAGTTATTATGTGTCAGACAAAAGTCCCCAAGTCTAGGAACTGAGATTTACAAAAACAAAAATGAAACAGTTCTCACCCTCAAGGAACTTCTTGTATATTAAAGGAAATATAAATTATACACATACATATATATATGTACACACACATACACACATATATGTGTGTATGTGTGTACATATCTATATATATAAAAGACAAGATAACTTTTGACAATATGGCACTGAAGGGAAATTCACAGTGTCTGTAAAAAGCAGAGCTTGGGCTGAGCTTTGAAGGAAGCTAGAAGTGTATCACAGGCACGGGGAAAAGAGATGGGACATGGGAGTGCAGTGGGTGAGAAATAGCCAGCAGGCCAGTTTGGTTGTGCTGTGTCTGTGAAAGATAGTAACATGTAAAGAGGCTGGTAAGTTAGGTTGGGGCCAGATTGTGGTGGGTTTTAAATGTCACAGAAAGACAATTTCTGAACAAGATTAAGAAATTATAGGATTTCAGAAGTAGGAGAAACCTTAGAGCTCATCTAGTTCAACTCTTTCATTTTAAACATAAGGAAACTGAGATCCCACGAGACAACTAAGGTCCACATAGGACAAACAAGATAATGCCTATGTGGCAGAGCCAAGATTAAAACCCAGGCCGTCTGACTACAAACCTAGCGCTCTTTATACTAGAGCCAACAGATTCCTTTTCTTCAGTTCAGTTCTTCTGAACCCCTTTGTAGGTCTAAATCCATTTATGAGAATTTCCATATCACTTTTCTTTTCTCAATTCTCTAAGTTGACAAGAGAGATAAACAGATGCTTATTTACTTTGCAGGACAGCTCACACACTTCTGCAACTTAAACAGTAACACAGAATGTTCAACATTTTCTACTCAAGGCTTAATTTGACTGGGATCTTATAGGAACTTTTTTTTTTAAAACAACAAAAAGCTGTCTGCTTTCTTTGCAGGTATTAATACAGATGATCCAGTAAAGATATTAGATAATTTCATACCTGGTTCAACTAGAGGTACATTGGCATTTGAAACAGCCTGCACTCTGAGACTGACAGTTTAACACTTAGTAGTGACGCACTTAACTTTTCACCAGTGAATGGGATTGAGAAACGAGAGTCTATTTCTACTACAGTTTGATAATAGCAACTTTAACTGTGTTCTGAGCATTCTGTTAGACACTGAGGGGTTACAGAATAAAGGGCGTCTACATCTTTTAACTTTAAAAAGTATATTAGCTAATTGGGACAAAAAAGATAACACATAAGAAAAAAACAAAACCCCAAACAAGTATGCAACTTGCCACAATGGTGCAAAGTTAGAATTATACTTCTAGTGGTTAGAAATGCTAGCAATAATAGGCAGCCACATTTATTTAAGAGTATTTCCTGACTTCCAGTTAATATTTAAGTCTGCCAGTGATAATTATTGTGAAATAACTTGTTACTACAAGCATATCTATCCACAACAATGCTTAATGACCAATACATAGATCCTTTCTTTAACTCTTACACCAAATTTTCACATAAGTGATTGTCCCTTGAAAATTGCATGGTGTTCAAAGATGCTTTATCAGTTCTGAATTAATTAGTTTTAGTAAGTTTTTATATAGAAGCTAGGATTTAGAGACAAGATTTCACTGTGGCCACATATAAGGTTATAAGACAGAAAGCCTTAATCTAATCAGTCTTAAAGTTTTTGCTTAAAAAAATTTTTTTTAATTAAAAAGTGATTACAGAGAAAACTTTCTAAATTCCAAGGCATGAAACCTCCCTAGATAAGGAAGTACAAGCCTATGCTGTAAGGAACTCACTATAGGTACTTAGCTATGGAAGAATACAACTTAAAAATGTCTAAATAAAGCAATGATTTACATTGTACTTAAAAGGTAGAAGTGTCCCTCTTGTCACAGGGTTTCCTTTTCACCTAACACCAGAGACAACATTTTTACATAAAATGTTAAAAAGGTGCTAAGGTTCACAGGCCAGGATGTAATTGCCTTTTAAAACTATGATACAGGGGCAGCTAAGTGGCACAATATAACTTAGGTCTTGGGGTCAGGACGACTTGAGTTCAAATCCGGCCTCAGACACTTGATACTTATGAGCTGTGTGACCCGGGGCAAGTCACTTAACTACAACTGCCTCACCAAAAACAAAACAAAAAAAACAAAACAACAACTATGATACAAATAGTACTAAAGTACTATTAGTGTAATAGTACAAATCACTTAATTACTAACTATAGAACTCATAGTACTGTTACAAGGGCTAAAATACTGGTATTAATTATGATATGTATAATACAACAGTACCATGAATACTCTAGTTCAGGTATATTATATCTACAGTATGGGAAAATGTTCTAAATAATTATCTTACAAATAAACTTTTGGACAATAATCAGCTTATAATTTGGAAGGGGCTCCTAACGTATAAGAAGGATAACAAATCAGAGGAATGGGAAATTTTTGCTGCCACTACTAGTATTCCTTATCTTACAAAGAACTGAAAACGTCTGAAAATACACAATCACAATTAAGTGGTGGAACTTTCAAAATCTTATTCTAACATGAACAGGAGAATAATGTTTTAAAACAATATACCCACTTATATAAATGACCACTTGAATGTTTAAAAAAATTATCCTAGGGAGCCTTTGCTTGAAAAAGAATACTGATATAGTTCATAAATCTAAGTTTAGACTTACCATTTATGTTTATTGCTGGCAAAACTATTGACATCTTTGGTCTTGTGGTCTTGTTATGGGTAGTAGCTGGTAATAGCAGGTGATCCTAAAAAATGTCAGAGAGAAATGTGTTATACTAGACAGTAGGGTTTAAAGCTAGAATTAGGAGTTAGTTTTCCTAATGTGCAAAAAACTTCCTATTCAATTCTTTAACAAACTTCTAAATTTTATTTAATTCTGAACACCAAATAATAATAATGAACACCAAAAAAGAACATTTCCACATAAAAAGGTGAACAGAAAATACAAATATTACATAGCACTTACATTTTAAAAAACATATTAAATTCAATGTTACTATCAAAGATATTCTTGGTTTTCTTGTGCATTTTTGAAAATGCTTTAATGACCCTTCTTAATTCCTTTTTGGGGTGTCATCCCTCTTACTACCTTCCTTCTTTCATAGTAGAATCTATTTAATATTGTCTTTACATTCCTATCACTAACACAGTACCTGGTACACAGAAAGTACTTAATAATGCTAATTGAATTGAATACAAATTTCAAAAAGGGGAAAACGGGAAAAACCTCATATAGGAAGTGATTATAATTTAACACAAAGTAAGTATCCTCAGATTTTAATTATATTTTCCCCCTTAAACTTGCCCTAAAAGTCGTAAACTCTTTAAATAGTTTCAGGTTATCAGAAAATTGCTAGTTTGTGATAAATAAGTATAGATGTGCTCTTCCCAAACTAAAATGAAATGACATAACAACCCTATAAGCCAACAAAAAAGGCCTCTACTCTCTAACTGTAGTTCAGTAATCAATTATTGAATACTCAAAAGGTACAGAGGCTATGTACTGATCCTTGGGCTATATGTTAAACAATGGATGCAATTCCTGATTTTAAAAAAAGCTTACAAACTAATAGAGCAACTAGGACAAATATGTAATCAAGAGAAAAAAATATATATGAACATAATGTATCTCTCAATACAAATGTGTTGACTTTGGCCTGCTGCTTTTTACCACCCAGCTAGATTTTGAGATGCCAAAACTAAAAATCAGAAAGGGTTTACATCCAGAAACTGGGGTAGCTGAGTGTGAAAATATTTGAGAATATATGTGTGTATGACCATATTCTAAGATAGATACAATAGATGAGGGTTACCTATTGTTTTACACTTCTTAGTGATGTAGATAAACCAAAGCTGCAGAAAATGAGGATACTCACATTATCATTTTAGTGAAAGCAGTTTAATCAAGCCAAAGAAGAACTTCACAAGTTTGCCTGAATTTCTATTTGTTAGTATCTCATTCAATTATTCATTCCTTCAACAAAGATTAGATGATGATGACAAAGATGAAGGTCATAAAGCATTGATTAAAGGCTAGACACTGTGCGAAGCACTAGAGCTCCCATTATGTTTGAAGGACACAGAAAGAAAAGATTTAGAATGTAGGGTGAAGCAACTGATACAAATGTGAGATATGGAGAACTCAGGACTGCAGTTTCAGAGTACAATCATCTTTTTATTGCACTATGTTATGAAAATGCTTGTTTTATTACATAAATTAAAAATTAAAAGATTTTTAAAGTGCAGGATGTGAAAAGCATATTGCCATTGAGGCACATGAAGCATTGTTCCTGCTTGTACTTTATGTGGTTTGAGGCAAAATTATCGCTCTATCATTTTCATAAATTTCTTAGGAGTGTTTTCATGAGAAAAAGGAAAATTTAGTGAAGTCATTCTATTAGATTATCAGGGTAGTGGCAAGGGAGTTCTTGGCAAAAAGCACATTGTTAGACGTAAAGATCACACATTTCTGGGATATTTTGTAAGATACCATGTTTCAAACAAGAAAAAATACAACTTCCTGTTCTTAACATTAAGTTGCAAGATTTTGGTTCCTAATAATTTAAACATAATTTTATACTCTTAAAATTGAATTGGAACACAATTTCAAAATATAATCCTTCCCTCTAGTTTCTTACAGTTAAGGGCATTGGTAAAATAAACACAATTAAATACCATTGGTCATGGGTTAAGGATAGAGTCAGACTTAATACTGCATTTCCTGATGAGATGTAGGTCCCAGTAAAAAGGTCAGTTTTAAAACACAGGATTATGAATATTACATCTTTCTCTCTTCATTAAATTTCAAAGAAGTTATTAGAGGAAAAGAGTTAGAAAATAGCACTTTTTAAAATGAAAAGACAATCATTTCTTGAACATACATATGTAATTAATATAGTCAGCCTAGATAAATGTATCAATTATTGAAGTCTTACAAACCAGAAAAGACTTTAATTTATGGCATTCATAAAATTTGCACCCTGCTCTAAGACCCTGAGCTCTGATGGGTGAGTTTTCACCTTATCCTATATTTAGGTCTTTACCTCACTTCATAGGCTATTTCCAAACCATGTGCCCATACAAGTACCATCCATTCACCTTTACAGTGCTTCTTTGTATGCTGTCTTCCCCAATTAGAACATAAACTCCTTGAGGGTAGGAACTGTATTATTTGCTTGCCCGAACTTAGCACAGTGCCTGGTACAAAGTAACTATTTGATAAATGCTTATTCTTTCATTCCTTTCAAAAGTTCCTCCGGGCTAGTGAAACATCAGGAAACCTGAGGCAGTAGGAACTGCCCTGGAAAAGGTGCATGAAGGAAATCTTGCATGGTACAGGTTCATAAAGTACTCATCTCACATAAACCACATTTAGTTTTTGAGTTTTCTAAGCACTGATATATACTTGGGAAAAGAAAGAAATTTCAGCATGTTAAAGTGTAATGTGGCTGTTTCCATTTCCACCCACTTTCTACAAAGAGCAAGACTTATGTCCAGCAGTAGTATACAAATTCTGATGCCTTGAGCTCACTCTTTTCAGATGGATCACATTCTGTACGGACAGTGTCATCCTTAGAAACAAGCACAACTAGATATGAGTTAACAATTAATCAGTAAGTATTTACTAAGTACCAGACAGATATGTTCTCTGGCATCAAAAGATGCAAAGTAGCACATATTTAAATTAAACGGTGTGAAACAGACTTAAAAAAAATACAGACGAAAAGTGCTAGAAAGAGTTCAAAGAAGAGAGAGATCAATAAGGGCTGTTATATTCAGGAAAGGTTTCAATATGGCTCACAGAATATTTCTTATGATACTAAGCCAAATTTCATTTAATTACCATGTATCACACAATCTCCTATCTCTTCTATTGTTTTCCTTTTTTACTTGAGTATGTTATTAATGCACTAGGAAAAGAATTCCAGTTCCACAGAGGAAAGAAAACAATATTAAAAATGTCAGCAAAACTCATTCCTTCTCAGAAAGTCCATCATTAAATGTTATTTAAAATTACCTAGACAATAAAGGCATGAAGATAAATAGCACAACTGCACAAAAGAGCCTCTTCCATTAGAATTAAACAGGATAGTATTCTGGTCCTGCTTCAAGAAGACATCACCAATCACCAAATAAAATCTTCAGATTATGTTTGAATACCCTGAGATGTCATCAGGGACTAAATTGAATGGATCAGTATTAAAATCAACAGTGTCTTAGTTACTCTTCATCTACAACATTTAGAGAAGAACACCAAAATATTTCACTCTGGAAACTGAGTTTGAGATAAAAGATTGAGCAATATTTGAGCATGAAAAGATAAGCAGTCTCCTCATTTCATCCAAATTGGAAGTGCGGGGTCCATTCACAGGCCTGATCCCACCACTGGATCAGCATGGGAACTTTGAGCTACTCCTTTCAATTGGGGTTAGGTTGACTCTCCCTCAATAAACTGGTAGCCCCTACTTCAGGGGCTCACTACACTGATCCCATACCTTGGTAAGGACATAGATTTGCATTACCCACTGGAACTCAGAATTTCAGAAATCATCTACCTTCCCAGCAGAACAGACTATGAGCACATACCACCATACCCAATAATATGTCATTTTTATTGAACCCTCATTACCATTTTCTAGAACTTGACCATACCTCAGAGCATATCATTTGATTCCATAACATTTAATAAATGCTTACTCTGAAAAGCACTGTTAATTCATAAAAGAAATGTCCCTAACTTCATGGCACAGACACAGATAACTTCAATGAGTGCTTAGAAAGATTCAGAAACAAAGTACTATATGAAGCCTGTGGTCAATATCAACTGGAGCACAACAGCAAAAGGCTTTATGGAGAAGGTAGCATCTGAGTTGGTTTAAAAGACAGCTACAGATTTAATACGTGAAGAGAAAAAGGCATATGAAACAGTGTGAGTAAAGAAAGGCATAGAAATGGGAAAGTATCTGCAGAACATTTTCAAATGACAATCTACTTTGGCTGAAACACTGAACATGTGGAATGAAATATGAGATTAAGCTGGAAAGACTGGAGGGGGCGGCGTGTCAGATTGTGGAGGGCCTGGAATGTCAGTTTGAACATCCTCAGTCACAGATGGCACAAAGCCTCTGAGAGCAAATATCACCACATTTCTACCTGAATGAGGGTTATTATGAAAGTATGTAATTAAATGTCAAAAGGTATATATGTCTTGAGTTTCCCATAAAATGTTGACATGATTCATCTGATTATTTGGAAAACTAAGAAGCTCAAAATTGAAAAAATGCTGGAATCCAGTTCCTCTGATAAGCCATGACACACACACTTCTTTAATATATTTGCTAGATAGCAAAGGATTTAGAAATGAAAGGAAGCTTAGAAGTCACTGAGCTCAACCCCCTTATTTTACAGATGAGAAAACAGAGTTTCCAAAAGGTTAAGTGACCTGGGTATGGAGTCTGCAACAGGCTGCCTAACTTGAATAATCATGTACTAAGTTTCTACTGAGTAGCTCACTGTACTAGGAGATGCAAAATTTAGACAAAACAGCTTCTGTCCCCATGGAACTTATAAACTTGTAGAGAAGAATAATACATATACACAAGTAACCTTAATACAAAATGATACTTCGGTGTATGCATAACAGAAGTGGCAAACCAAAGCTATGGACAACTAAAGTAAGGTACTGACATGCCTCAGTGAATGAAGGACCTGTCAACTCCACATTGTACAGTGACAGACTTCTTTG